TTGCAAAACAATAATTTATGAGATGATATCAATATTGAAACTTCTTATGCTGTCTTGTCCTAAGCTTAATTCCTTTTTTCACCTTTCCTCAAATGGGACATGAGCATTAGTTGAAATTTTAAAGAATGCAGTTTTCTGTAGATTTTCTCAGTCCAGTTTATTTACAGTGACTTTTGGGTAAAGAAATTATGGCATGTTTGCAAAAATCCAACATACATTTTCTTTACCTGATCATCTTTCAATGTATGTGCCTCACATATTTCTGTAAAGGCAGATGTTTTTTTTCCCTCCTTTGGTTTTCTCTCCCTGTGCTAAACAACTGAGCTTAGATGCAGATGATGACTCACACAGTCACACCTCCTCCTTCCTCTGTTGTCTGTCAAAGGAGAAGAGCAACAAGGCCTGCGCAGGTAGCGCCGCCAGGCTTCAGCAGTCCTCTGATTGGAAAAGAGAGCATCCCCCCAGACACGGGTCACTTCCTACTGGGAAGCCTTGTCTGCTTCAGGCTGCTCCAGACCAAGTCTCTGGAAGAAAGAAAACACAGCTGCTGGGTTGTCATCTCCAAGCTACTCTGACCCTGCCTCTGAAGACAGGGGGGATGGAGGAGGATTGCCTCAGTAGATGTTGGTTTGTGTGCGTGTGACAATTTCCCATGAATATGCTACACTGTGGGGACTTGCTACACTGTACGTGTGGAGACTTACGATTGTGTTTGTGTGTACGTGTCTGCAGTTGGGTTAGTAAGTGAATGCACTGGTGAAAGGCTGAGGCTACTAAGGGATGAAAGCCTTGAAGTGTGGCAATAAATCTGCTCAGGAGGATTTTATATTCTGGTATGGATGCACTGAGATCAAATGTCCATTTGTTTATACCGTTGAGTAATATTTAAAACCTCATGTTAGTAATTCAATTAGTTCAATTCAGTCATTTTAACTGAATTCAAATCACCAACTTGGGGAATTCCACATGACAAAATTGATTAATTCCAATGGAAAACAGAAAAAACACAAATAATATGAATCTGCTATTTACTAGGCGTTTTCATTCAAATACTATATGTGAGCATAATTCAAAATCGGATTTATATCCCACCAGAGGGGTTGTGAATGAGACAGTCCACCAGAAAGAATGAAATGGAAAACAGTCCAACCAATGTTTACAGAATAGTTTTGCATATTTCTAATAGGGCTAATATGAGAGAACTTTTATGAGCGTTTATTACATATATATTAATATATTAATATATACTAAATGTTATTGATTTGGTGAAAGATTGAGACATCAGTTTATTGCTGCTGAAAATAAAAAAAATCTGTATCTTTTTTAATTGTGGCCTGCTTTTACTTTTAAATTGATCTCGATGTGTCTGTCAAAATGTTTGAAAAATGCAATCTAAATCCAAATGTAAGGCCATCTATCCAACCCATAAAGCTAAGTCCAAATGTGTTATAAAACAGCACAGTGACCCCAACTATGGTTGAAAATGTACAGAATATCTTAAAAAAATTAATAGGAAAAAAATAACAGCCTAGTCAAAGCTAAGTCATAAAACGAAGGGATGGTTAGTTGCATTCACTTACCGGTAGTTGTATTTACTTGAGTTATAAAAAAAAAAAAAATAAAAAATTTAATTATACTTTACTTATTTTAGCATGAAGAATTATTTTTGTTGTTTGAGTAATAGTTTCTGGCTTCCACTTATTTTAGAAATTGTATGCTTAAAAAACGATTTGAAAAAAGCATCTCTCTGCATAAAATGTGTTATATCTTCTGATATACAAACATACATATACATACATATATATATACATCCCTAATTTGCACATAACTTTCGAATTTTTTCAGTTTGATGACATACTTTTGACTTGGATTTAAATAATTTTTTTCTAGAAATAAAATTTCTTCCAT